ATTCACATAAGTTTGCACATAATTCTAATTTAAAACAATTTATTGATTAGATTAAGTTCACTTATCTGTTTGGTAAATAAGGTTAATATACGGTGTTGGTAAATTTAAGGTAAAAGCAGGGATTTCTTCCTTCGTCCCAAACTGCAAAAATACATCAATGGCTAAACATTATATGCCGGTTACCAAGTGATTAGGGATTGTATTTCATAACTCTCTTCGAGACTGCACCGTGAATGATCTTCAAGATAAATGATACTTATTTGTATTCGAACCCAAACTATCTTCAAGATAAATTATTCTTATTGTATTCGAACCCAAACGATATTCAAGATAAATTATTCTTATTGTATTCAAATCAAAACGATCTTCAAGATAAATGATTCTTATTTGTATTCGAACCTGAACGATCTTCAAGATAAATGATTCTTATTGTATTCGAACCCAAACCGTCTAGAGATAGCCATGGGCTAAAAAGGTTTAAAATGTTATAATAGATGAAAGGAAATTTAAAAAGGATTTAGATAAAATGCTTTAACTATTAAATAAATAATTTCACAGAGACTAAAATTAATATAAAATGAAAAATTCTTATATAATATATTTAAATATAGTAAAGCATAATATCTTGTTCCAAAAAATAATATATAATTTTATATAATAATAATAATAATACTCTCCCTAATTCACCCCCTTACGAGTGAATTTTAACCCCAAAAGCTGAGCTTGTCCGGGGAAAGGGACGGCTATTATTATTATTTGCCGTGGCGCTCCGGGGCGACTTAAAGATGATTGATGGTGCCATTTGACTTACAGGTGAGGAAAACCCGGAAAACCTCACCCACCATCATCGAGACGGTAATATATGGCGAATTTTTTTAATCTGCATGTCATATCGACAGAAATTGAATTTCTATTAATACGCCACACATCAAATCCTAAACCGAACCATGCAATTTAATTAAAAATCCACATGGTCTGGTCTGGGATTCGAAACCCAGCAGTCTCAGACTCATAAACTTGCCTATAAATGAATATAAGCGCGATAGACCGCTACACCACCGTGTCCGATAAGAGCTAACATGTGTCATTCATTATAGATGTGGAGGTTATGTATAAAATTTAACAATTTGCTCGAGAAATTATTGAACAAAATATATTGTGGCGGTTACGAGAGTGGATATGGTCTAATTCTAGCAAGAGTTGCTATTAACCGGTTGTTGGGCGCCATTGTTAGAATAACAAAATTAATTAAATTCAAATCACTTGTTTATAACTACCTTTAATTTAAATCGAATTATTAAAATATTTGTTTTATAAAACCATTCATCATCCACAATTACTAAATATTTCTCAGGGGTACGTCCGACTCTGTGGTTGCAGAGATTTATTTGTTTCACGCTAGACGGCGCTGCGATACGAGCTCGTCCGATTTTACCAATATGGTCACTTGTTATTTATGCCTGTGTAAAGTTTAAACCAAAAGAAAAGCGAATATAAGTGCAAACAAAGAACATTGATTTATAAGGAAGAAACAAACGCAATCTAGCAAGTTCTGCCAAAACACAAGGAACAATTAAATATTAGAGTGTATTAAAAAATAATTTACGAGGCATGGAAATTTGAGGTCATACCAGATAAGTACATTTTTATATTTTGTTTGTACCTGACAACAATGAAATATTTTATAAGATTCTTCCAAGAAATCATTAGGTTTCATTCACAAGGTTCGTAGTAATAGCTAGTTGATTCACTGTTAATATTTAGATTTTAAATTATTCATTTTGATTACTTTTAGCTGCGAGACGAAACCATATGATTCCTTTTCTATTTAAATTAAAATTCCGAATGACATATACATTTCTTACTTGAGCTGTCTATTTCGTTCAATTTGATTTTAACAAAATCTAAATTGCTCAAATAAGGAGATATTTATTTGTCGTTCAAGTTAAATGTTAAAATTCATTATAAAAAAAAATTTTCCTACGACCACTTAGGAAAGTTACACATATCACACTATATAGACCTATGGAAAGTGCCCTATATCACACGCGTATGAATAAGAATTTACTTTCCACCCAAGTGAGAATATGCTACTTTCCGCAGTAGCTGTCAGAAAATGTCAAACACATAATTTCTATTTTGATCTATGTAATGCTAAAATCGATATGATTGTTAAATTATTGTAAATTAGATCCTAGATATTTATCTTTAACAATTATTTTTAAAATAACTAAGATATATTTGCTTTTTATTCTGGTTAAACACATAAGCGATTAGATCAATCAATTACCGTAAGGCCTGTTAGCTCAGTTGGTTAGAGCATCAACTTTGCATATTGAGACCGTCCAACGACCGCGATCGAATCCTGGCTGTGCCAGAATTTTTTTTTTTATTTTTTTTTTATTTTTTTTTTATTTTTTTTTATTTTTTTATTTGTTTAGAAATTATGAAAATTTAATAAATACGATTATTGTTGATTATTTTTTTAAATACATTTTAATTATTATAATAATCTGGTTTTACATTTTTTGATGAAATTATTTTGTGGTCGTAGGAAAAATATTGTACATCACTTGTGTGAAAAGTGATTTTCCACACTCGTATGATAGTCGCACTCGGCTTACGCCTCGTGCGACAATATTTCCCACTCGTGTGAAAAATGTCACTTTCCACACTCGTAATGTAATATACTATTTCCTACGACCACTTAGGAAAGTGACACATATCACACTATATAGTCCTATGGAAAGTGCCCTATATCACACGCGTATGAATAAGAATTTACTTTCCACCCGAGTGAGAATATGTTACTTTCCGCAGTAGTTGCCACAAAATGTCAAACAGCTAATTTCTATTTTGATCTATGTAATATCCATATTAATACCTACTAAAATCGATATGATTGTTAAATTATTGAAATTGTTGTAAATTAGATCCTAGATATTTATATTTAACAATTATTATTAAAATAATTTTAAAATAATGTTTGCTCTTTATTCTGGTTAAATACATAACCGATTAGATCATTCAATTGACACAAGGGCTATTAGCTCAGGTGGTTAGGACATCGAACTTATCAACTTTGCCATTTTTCGACCGCGTTCAGTCTATGGTTCAAATCCTGGCGGAGCAGAATTTTTTGTTTGTTTTTTTTTTATTTTTTTTTTAGTTTTTTTTTGTTTAGAAAATATGAAAATTGAATAAATACGATTATTGTTGATTATTTTTTTAAAATACATTTTACTTATTATAGTAATAATAACCTTGGTTTTACATTTTTTTTGATGACATTATTTTGTGGTCGTAGGAAAAATATTGTACATCACTTGTGTGAAAAGTGATTTTCCACACTCGTGTGATAGTCGCACTCGGCTTGCGCCTCGTGCGACAATATTTCCCACTCGTGTGAAAAATTTCACTTTCCACACTCGTAATGTAATATACTAATTCACTACTAAAATTAAGATTCAATTCTTTTTTAAAATAGAACTTTTATCAAAGCTTATAGGCCTTTCATGTTGTTAATATTTTGCAAAATATTTAAGTTTTTGTTACCTGAGATCTCATTTTTAATGTTTTAGCGCAAGAATATCACTTTTATGCACAGCTTGGAGAATCCTATGTCCAGTCTTGTAGAAATGTGTGCCCTTTCTGGTTCTAAGCACCACAGCAACGTTTGTGAAGGAAAAACTAGACTCTGTGATGTGATTTTGCAACGAAAATCACTTGTAGAATGGAAAATAGGTGAATTTCTACCCAATTTTCAGAAGAGATTTTTCAAATTCTCATTTTTTTCTTTCTTCCACCACACTGTCCCAATTGTTCAAACAGTTTCCATGGAAACCGAACCGAAAACTCTCACATATTCCCTAATCAAGTCACTTTTGTCAGGTAAGTTGATGTCTTAATTTTAATAATTAAAATGTCAGGTTATATACAGGGGGAAACAAAAGTATTGTCTTTTTCTTGGCTTTCACTAATAAAAGTGTTTCTTGTTTTGTTATCACTTTTTTAAATGTAAATGAATCATTTAAACACTTATTCTACTTCTTAAAACTATTTACAAGTATTTACAAACTCAATAAAATATGTGTTTTGTTGTCAGGCATAAAGTTTCTTAATTTTCTCTTATTAAGTTGAGTTTATTAGTTTAATTTGTTTATTGATCGTTAACCTACATGCTTCTATCTATTTATCATTTTTTTTTCCTAATTATTTAATGTTATAAACTATATTCTTTGTAGATTTCCTGCACTTATTTGGATAAAACTGTTTCCTGTGGATTTTTTTAACGGCTTGACTGATACTATGATACTACCAGTGAGATCAGTCTTATTTGTATGCAATATTCTCAAGGACTCATTTACAGGTTGCAAATTATTGTTTTATTTGTACTTCACAAACCTGTTAAAGCAAAATTGTAAGTATTACGTTATTAGTAAAAATTTTTGTATGTATTATTATTTTATTCATAATTATTCTCATTATTTGAGACTTATTTCGTCTTTTCTTCTGATCAAACTAATTCATTTGACTAAAAATGATGCACATTATTTATTAATTATTGTTACTTTGCGGTTTGATATACCAGGTGATTCATAACTTCAATTATTTCTTAATTATACATGATTTTGCGTTAATTTTCTTTAATTTCAACTTATAGATTTTATTGACCGTTACAATATATTTAAAAACATATTATTAACAAAACGTACGTTATAAAAGTCAGTCATTAACATAAATATAAATTAGTATTTCGGAAGACCGAAATTAAAATAAAATCAAAGTGATCGTCGCTTTCAGTCAGATCAAATAAAAATCTCACATTTACTGACACAATGCATAGACGACAAATGACATTTGAGTAAGAGGTGATTGTGTCCGAAATAACGAAATAACGGTTCCAACCGTTGCAATACCCTAAAGTTTTTACTACGAGCCGCCACTGATGGATCCTATAGGGATAACGTTCGAATAGAATATTAAATAAAAAATCTTACTCAGAAAAAAAGCGTACGAAGCAGAATGGCATATAAATTTTACAAAAGGTTTTTTCATAAATAATCCCATTTTTGAAGTAGGTGAAACCATATGAAGCAGGCAATAAATTGGAAACATCATTCCGATATTAGCCACTTGTATTCCTTGACCAATCATGTTTTTCCGTCTGAATCCAGGCAATCCCTCGTACCATATCGAAGCAAGAAGCTGCTGAACGTTTGGATGAGCGATAAACTAAAACAATACTTTATTTTTACTATTTAAATAGCTTCAATACTATCTATGAGTACTATAATAACATCACATATAACGTTAAGTGCAAGTTTTTTTATAGAAATCTGCATCCCCGCTAAAAAACAAGAGATTTTAATGCAGAAGGTCTCCAGAGTAGCTATTATTGAATTCAAGAGAATAGAAAACCGGTATTTACTCTTTATCTGCAGCGTAAAGAATTATGTTTGTTCTCTTTTTTCCTCAAACTTTCTACTTCGTGACATTCAAGAATATGTACCCAGATGTTTGTTATGGAGATGTTCTCTGTATCTGTAACGCAGGGAGGAAAGGTCGCCCTCCTCCCCCGGACCTTAGGCCTCACTAGGATTATTGTGTATCCATTTAATTTGATAGGCTTCTCCTAGCTCGTTCAGCAAACTATGGATTTGATGTAGTTGACAACGTCGCCGAGAGGTTCTTCTCTTATATTGGCCAATGTTAGCCTCTACTCGCCGAACACAAATCTTCTAATAAATGAGAGAGTAGGGCAATCATAGAGGATATGCTCGATGGTCTAGTCTTCTTTTTCACACTTCATGCAGATAGAGAATTCTGCCAGCCCTATGTTATGGAGATGCCACTGTACTTGACAATAACCATTCAGAATGCCTCTGATCGGGCGCAGATATTGTCTTGTCACAGTCAAGCATTTGTTTGCTGGTAGTGTTGCGGGTATAACGTAGAAGCTCCCTGGAAACTCTTCAACTTCTTCTTTCATCCCATATTTCCTTGAGTTTAACAAGGGAATGTTATTTAATTAGGTTAGTCACTACAGTGTTGTCAGTCCAATGGAAGAGCCAGGTTAAAAAAGTATTTGTGCGTTCTTGGCTAGTGAATCAGCGGTGACGGTTACCTTTCGATGTAGCGTGTCCTTTGATCCATCTTAAGATGACCACATTTTTGATGAATACGTTTGACAATCTAGTTCTAACCATGCACCAAGTAGTGGTCTGTTCAAGGTAAGTAGTGCTTGTCTGCTATCTGTATAGACGAACATGTTTCTTTTATGTTTCTTGTAACTTCTTCTGCTACTATATGAATCTCCGTGAGCTAGGTTTGAACTATGATAATATTACTCACATCCCATTTTATGTTTAGGATTCAGGATCTGGAGCCTTGTTTTATTTTATAAACGTCGGTGTAGATATGAATCGCACCTGCCACTTGAAGCTTTTCTATTTGTATTGTTATAATTTTATACGGCTTCTGGAAGATATATCTCGGTAAAATGGAGTCCATTTTCTATTAAAGCAGTGGAAGGGTATCGAGCGTCTCCAGTTAGAGGCGATGTCTCGCCTTATCAGATCATACTTTAGGCTTATTCCAACTGTTTTATTTTTATCGGAGCAACCTCCTTGATGTAAATATCAAGGGAAATGCAACTAAGAATGACTTTCATGGCTCTGGTTGGTGTGCTTTGCATGGCTCCTGTTATGTCGAGACATGCTGTTATTTAAATTCGTTCTCTAGTTGTCAATTGTTGGGTTTTCAATACCCAGACCAATTGTTGGCATAGATCTTATGATGGCCGTGTAAATCCATGTGACGACCCTAAAGGAGGGACCTCAGGTGCGCCCCAGTTTGACGGAATTGTTCATAAGCAATGTATGCTTTTTTGACTCTGTTGCTGTCGAAGGTGAGAAAAGACACGTCATTATAGGATATTTCCAGAGATCGTTCTTAATACTCAACTGCCAGTTGATGATTTCAACCATGATTAGTATACATTTAATGACTAGAATTGTTGTAGGTACCTGTATCCTGAAAATAGATATGATCTCATTGAGAACAGGATGTTGTTATCGTTACCAACTGCATTACACCTGATGCGGGTGTTAGCTAGATGATGAGACCAGGGTATCTATTCTTGAATCTCAGGGAGTAGAAATTTTGAGGGAAGCATGAGACAAAAATACAAATTTTGTGCGTTGCACATAAAGAGGAAAAACCGGTTTTATATTCTCTTGAATTAAAGAGCAGCTACCCAGGGGGATTATTCTCTAACTTTCAGTTAAAAACGCATAGCAACCTTGAGACAAGAAAAGAGAGACGACGCGTAATAAGTATACCAACACTCGTAGTATTCTCTGCCGATTATGAATTGTCCGCCATTATTTTGGTGCCAAGCATTTCAGCGACACCACAGCTTTTTATTCGTATTTATTTGATAGTTAGTTTGTTACAATGGTTTATTGTGTTGAATATCAGTGTAAAAGTCAAAGGCGACAAAAGATCACCAGTATTCCATTTCACAGGTAAATAATAAACATCAGTCATAGATGTATATTTTATATATTTTCTTATATTTTTCATTTAATTGGTTATTATACGACTTGGTATTTTATATAGTCTCACTCCAGAGTAATAAATGTTACCCAGCAAGTTTGTTTATTTTATGCTTTTCATTCATTTTTAAGCAGTTAATAATTGCCAAACCAGTAACTTTTTCCAGTGACGTCTCGTACAATTCTAAATATTTACTTTGGTAATATACGCTGATACTCGAACGGCGAATGTTATTGTTGAAATTTTACAGAAAGTTTCTAGACACTTTGAACACATTGTACATAACAATTTCCCGAGGGGTTAGCATGAGTAGAGTACGCGTCCCATTTAGGGTGTTTGCTGTTTAGATCTCCTGCTAGAAAAACTCTAGTACCGTGTGACATCAGCGCGTGCATGTCTGTGCTGGGGCTTTTGGCGGGGGGATTGAACACACCAATTATAATGTAGTTAAGGCATTTAATGATTACATGCTCAATATGTGGTGCAATATTGCGCGAATTCTAAGTTTTTATTAACAAGTATAGCGACCCCTCCCGTTGCTTTTTGCCTTACGTTTTGTCTGTCTTGTACCGGTCTGTCTTATCTGATGATGTTGTAGTCCCTAATTTTGATTTTGTCCGTTTGTTTGAAATTTGTCTCTGTAAGTATTATTATGTCAAATTTATGCTTGTGGATGAAATTGGTTACTAAGCCGCGTTTGCTTATCAACCCGTTCACATTGTAAAAACAAATTCTGATTTTGTCTTTGTACGTCGGATTGATTTTAGTTCCTGAATTTATACGTATTAAGGTTAGCTACAAAGTTGTTATAGGTTATGAAAATGTCGCGTTCGTCCCTGCACTGTCTGATGGAGGAGTTGAGGTCCCGAACGGCTCGGGTAAGTTCTGCTAGATTTATCAGCTTATTTAGTGTGTTGAACTCATCGTTTAGTGAAAACATATCGTCCATTGACCCGGGAATTCTGTCTTCGGCTTGCTGTTGTGTTTGTGGTCTTCTGCTGGGTAGGGGTGGGAACTGATTGTTCCCTACACTGCTGTTGCTGCGGTTTCTGTTTTTGTCCCACATGTTTACTGTATTAGTTTGCGTTCTTCCATCCTTTTAATTCTGTCTAAGTATGACGGACATTGACTATAATTAGCCGGGTGTCTCCAAGATAGTTGACGCACGTGGCAGGGTGTCTCTCGTTTTTATACAAGTCCTTGTATGGTGTCCTTTGGTGCACTTAAGGCATTTTGAGAGTCTTCCGCACTTTGCCGTAGCGTGTCCCCACGCCTGGCAATTGTGGCATTGAATTATCGTCTTGTTCGACTTTCTAAGTTCCCATGTAATACGGGTATTCTCTATGACGCGTACATTTTTATTGAGAAAGTCAAGGGTGATAGCGGGATCTGTCACTATTAAGAATAGCGGTCTGTATTTGGTGGTCATCAGGAAAATTTCCCTGGTTTTTATGTCGTATGACTATCATGTCTTCCTCAATGTCTTCAATTTTTGTGCCGGTGTTTAACCCCCTTAACACAAATGCATGGAATTTTTCTGACCTGTTAGTGTACGTGTGGTGAGAGATCTTCGATTCTTTGACGCTATCTACTAAGTCGGTTTAGTCTTTTTTGTCTTATACGTAAATAATGGTTGAATTATTGGTGTATTTTATTGAATACTTCCCTTTTATTATATTTTGAAGATCCGTTTTTAGGGTGCTGCGATTGTCGGTTTTTTCTTTAATTATAATTGGGGACATGGCCGCTCTCCTGGGTACATTTTTTTTGCGCTGTTGTTCGCTTTGCTTGGGGGTTTATTTTCTGTGCAGCTCTGTATACTCGTGGTAGGGTGTTGTGTTACAGGTTTTTTAGATGGGAGAGATGATTTGTCGTCTGAATATGTGTCCGTAAGCACATTGTATTTATTTTGCAGTTTTATGGACCTTACTGCGTTTTCTCGCATTACTTTAACGAAATTTGTAGAGAATTTTTTAGGGGGTTTGAAAGCTCCTTCCTTTACGTTTGTGTCCATTTCGGGTCCTTTTTCTTTTTGGTGGTTGTTCTGGAGTGATTGTGGTTTTAGGGACCGCGCCTGTGGACTCCAGCGGTTTTTGACCAGTGAATGTTTTCGTCCTCACTCGATGTAGTGTTTTTGAAATTTAAGATTCTCTCTTTGATTGAGGCTGGCAGCTGTAGAGTCGCGTATGCCAGTTTTTCGCGTACCGTTCTTTCATTTACACTCGACGGTGTTGGAAATCTGTCTCTCTCGAAGTCGAGAGCATGCGTTGTCACCGTGGCTGGCAGCGGTAAGGTAGTGTATGCGGAGATGAACGAGTCGCGCCCGTGCCCACAGCGTGTTCTGTCTGTGAGTCGTTGTTAACTTTCTCCATACTTTCTTGAACTTTCTCCTTACTTTTTTCGCTCTTCTCCATACTTTTTTGTATGATATCATTCAATGTTTTCTCCGCGTTTTCAGCACATTCGAGAATTAGAGTGTCTAAGGATTAGGATTTACCCGCGCTACCGGTGTTCGTTTCAGCGTCTTTGTTTTCCGCGTTAAACTCCGAGAAATTCACTATTCATTAAGCGGCGAATTCTCCGCACTTTCGAAATTTCCGTCGTTGTTTGGTGAGCCGGCCGAGCTCCTAGGCGATACCTGTTTCATGTCTGATTCCGGTATAAAAAGTTTGCAGAATACTGATGTACGTTTCGCACTTTTCTCCTTACTTACATTACTGTTCTCCATACTTTCAAGAGATGAAATTTTGCTGCTTTGTAGCGCACTTTGGGTATGGTCGGCGGGTTGGGATAGTGTTACATCTGTTGGCATTTCCAGGACCGAGTTATTGTCAAATGTTTTGGACATTTGAATTTTCTCCATACTTTTTTTCTGCGAGCTTTTTGTCGAAGAATCCCTTCTGGAGTTGGATTTCGACTTGCTGGATTCATATTTCACATTAGGGGTACTTACATGTCTGTAAGGGTGGTTCCTGCTGTGGCTGCGACTCCTAGGGCTGTGTGGGGACTTCTTTTGGGTAACTTGTGTTGTTGCTGTTTCTCTATTTTGTCCTTGTGGCTAATGGGATATAGGGTGTTTACAAAGTTTGGATCATCTGAATTCTTGTCTGGAAGGGGTTCTTTGGCAACACTTTCGAGTTATGTCATAGGCGGTTTTTGTTTCACTCCCGATCAGGTATAAACTACTTTGCCTGGTACGACGCGTGAATAATAACAATGAAATTTGAAATTTTTAGGTTAAATACCTGGCGGCACAAAACCGAACTAACTACCGTATTAAAAATGTAGTTACGTCCTCTGATAAAGTACAGAGGATACTAGTAATAAAAAAATATTTGTTCGTAAATATAATATCTGTCATAATCCGTAAAGATTAGTTTAATAAGCTGTCAAATGACTGACTAATCATTTAATGGCCAGATCATGAAGTTGGATACATGTTGATTGTAAAATATACTTTATCTAGCTCTTATAATGGTCTTCTAATGAACTCTGGTGGATTTTTTTGGAACTACGTTGTGCTTGGTGCCATATCGTCTTTTGTTTTTACATGGGATTTTAGGAAAGTTGAAACACCTATAATAATTGTCTTTCATCGTGGCACGAAACGGACTTCTCTACAAAGTTCGATCACCAAAACGACAATCATGCGATTATGGTATTCTCTAATGTTAGACGATTTTGCTATTCATAAGTGATTGTCATTTTTGTCAAAAGCTGTCATAATTATAAATCGTAACTTCTGATTGGTCTGAAGAACTAAGGTTAGGATTTGAACGTCATTTTGACATTATAATTCATTAATCATTAAATATGGTCGCGATAGTTTAGAAGCAACTGGATAGGGACCAAAAGCAAATTTTATTAGAATATATTGAGACCAATTCCAAAATTATAACGAATCAAAAATATAATAAAGAGCATACATTTTCTGATATTTTAATATTCCAGTTTAAATATAGGTCCATATTTTAATTTTTGACTTATCTACATCCGCAAATCTTAGCCTTAAATGTCAAAACTTGAAAGTGTGTGACAAGTCTCCTGATTCACCTACAGTGCTTCAGCGAGTCTGTGGCGCTATGAATGTAATTCCCGAATAGGGGTTGCTCAGGCGCCAGTTTTGATATCGCAGTTTGCTCTGCGGCCCTGGGGTGCACGTAGAGTACACCCTCAGTAGACTCAGTGGAGTCCAGGTACAAACAAAAAAAATAAAACGGACAGACCTTCACTGTTAAGTTGACCTACACTGGGGTAGTAAAGTAAATAAAGTTTTTCACTGCACTTTTACCTATTAATCACTACGCCCTGAAAACGGAAAAAGCAAAGGTGTAATTCAAAATTAAACTCAGGAATTTCAATAAAAATATATTTACAAAATAAAAGAAATAAATAATAATTAAAAATAAAATAAATGGAACGGCGGTAAAATCGATATGTATATAATTAATAACGGTTAACAATAAAACAAATGGACCTAGGGTGAAATCGGTATATATATATCTGTTTAATAACGGTGATAAAATAAAGGTAGAATATATGTTTTGTTGATAAAATAAATGGCCTCGGTATTTACAGAAAGGTGCTATAACGGTAAAATTAACTATGACCTATACTATACCCATAAGAAAATAAAAATAATAATTTTCCCTTTAAAAAAAAAAATAAAACGGTGGGCACTAACACCCTTAGCACAAATTCCTTTCTATTAATGAAAACGACCGGTTTTAGCCATAAAAAAAATATCTACAATAGTAAAACTAAATATGATTCGAACTATACGTTTCAAAAATAAAAAAAATTAATTAGCTACCCTCAGTGATAAAATATCGATAATCTGTCAGCGGTGGTGAACAGTATCACACTCCACTCATGAGAAAAAAAAAATGACGGATGCCATTGTAAGAACGGCGCCTAATATCCTCCCCGCAATATTATTTTGCTAGGCACAATAGACCAAATAACAGGTGTCTTAAAGCGGTATTATTCGACCAATACTCTGAGAATTTTTATTTTATTTATTCGGTTTCAAATTTCTCTTATGTAGACATCTGGTAATCCATAGCTTCTACAAAACAGAAACAGCTACGATTCTCGACAGGGAGAGCAAGCGAATACCACTATCATCCCTTGATTAACACGAAAATGGTTGAAGGGCACTAACGCCCCGGATTTAAATACAATTCGTTACCCTGACAGGTACTAAGAAATCAAAAATACTGGTCGAATAGCTCAGGTAATTAATAGTACGGAAGTGAATGTTACAGGGAGAATTATTAGACGGGATTTTAAATAAAAGGCCTACCTTAATTAACTTCTTCCACAAAATTACGGCTTTCACGGTAAAAACGGCACTTCGTCACCCAAAACAATTGTTAATAGCGAACCGACGGCGTAGCAGAAGGAAAGAGAGCTCGTTCATCGCAAACATTTAGTTTTATCAGAATTCGTACTTTTGCCGGAGTGGGGCGGTAGCCCCACCTAGAGGAAATAAATTGTTATTGCAAAAAAAACGTTAATTGATCAACTTACTGATAAACCTACTACTATTGCAATTTTACGAGACGATTTACATTATTGTGATATTGAAAAGTTTTAAACTACGAGGGCTCTTGTAAAGATTTAAAAACGGTAATTCTATGGAAACATTAGTTACAGGGGCTCTTGAAAATGTTCATAGACGGAAATTAATTTTAGAAAATAATTTATGGAATAAATTAATGGGAATTTTAGTGACTTCGTCACAAGTGCGAACAGCAAAACGCTACTTTTGTGTAACTTTTTTGAAAGTGCTTCATGTTTTTCAAATACGAACAACACAGCAAGTAGAAAAAAGCAAAACATTTGTGCTTTACATTTTTGTTAGTTTCAAAAACGCTGGTTAGAGAATAAGGCCCCTGCTAATTTTGCTTTGCACTGGATTTATATTCGAATTCAGATGTGCATTAGATGGTTTACTCGCTCCGAATCCTCATTTGCCTATTACTCAAATAAACAATACCCAATTCAGTAGTATGCAATCTTTTAGTTGTATGAACTTCATTTTAACAACAACAAATATTGTCAAATATCACTTACCGCTTTTTGTTTATATTTGATAGCTAATTTTAGTCTTTCAAGTGTTTGTCTTTCTCCGGTCACCCAAATGTCTCCGTCCGGATTATAATTAAGCATGATTTCCAGTTCATAAGAAGTTCTTGCATGATCTAGGAGACTAGTGGCAAATTGTTGTACTTGATTTCTCATTTCCTAGAAAATATTCATTTAAGTATTTATAAATGTTTGGAAAAACAGGCAATAATAATAAAATTATGTATACATTCAAAGACCCAAAATAGCATTATAGTTACACCTATTTCAATTTTTCTACGTTTAGTGTTGTATGCGTACTGCACAGTTTCCAACCTATGTAAATTATTTCTTATGAACATATTTTTGTATTTTGAATCGATTACATTGTTACAACGGCACACTACTAGACCAATCTTTTCATTCATCAGTAATACTTGTTTTTTTGCAAATATTCTGTTCATGTTTTGTGTTTGTAAACATGTAACAAGGCAAGTAAAATAACTCGCGTATCGGGGACAACACTAATCATTTGTAATTACTGTGGTGGGAGGTGTTTGTGTGAATGCGTCTTGTTTGTTTTCATTTACGCCGTGACTAGCAGTATTATTTTATAAACCTTAAAAGCAAATTTCACATATATGAACAAATAATAATAATATTGCCGTGACAAAGTCCTTAACATTTTTACTATTAAATATTCGGTCGGTCCGTAACAAGATAGATGAGTTATTTATGTTAATGGAACAGTTTCATTTTCCGCTAGTTCTTTTGCTCACAGAACACTGGCTAGAAAAACATGAACATCTGTGCATACCAGAGTATAATTTGGTTAGTATATTTTGCAGAGAGATGTTTGAACACGGAGGAACGGCAGTATTAATACACGACTCCCTCTTTCACAGTTTGGAGTTTACCGAAGTAAAATACCAAGATTTAGCTGAGGAGAAATAATTTGAGTTTTCCATTATTAATATTAAAAAGTTAAATATCTTCATAATTTTTATTTACAGATCTCCAAGCAACAGTATTCCAATATTTTTGAATAAATTGGAATGCTTATTATCTAAGATATCAAGTTCATCTAAAATTATTTTGACCGGTGACTTTAACATGGATTTTTGTGTTCAAAATGATAATAATATAATAAATCTTTCTCATCTTGTATTATCTTTTAATCTAAATATGCATGTCAAAGATCCTACTCGAATCACTAATAACAGTGAAACGTTGATTGACTATTTTTGCTCCTCTTTTCTGGACAGTAATATTTTGTGTTCAGTCCATTCCATCTCGTTATCTGATCATGAGGTTGTTTTGTGCTCAACGCCTCTCGATACGAAGCTTAGGAAAATGAAATTCAGATATGGTCGTATGTTTAGCAAACCTAATTATGATAAATTTAGATTAAGAAGCCATAATTTTAATTGGCATAGCTGCATCTTGTCTGATGATCCATTTAAAGCATTTTACCATAATTTGTGCAAATTTTTTGAATCCAGTTTTCCCATTAGAAAAATTAATATAAAAAATAAAAAACCTTGGATGACCTCAGGCATAAGGTGTTCAGCAAAAAATATGCGATACCTCCATTACATTAAAAAATATGTCCAAGATGAATTCTTTTTAATCTATTGCCTCCATTACAGGAAAATATATAGGGCTGTTATTAAAAAAGCTAAGGACATATACTATTATTCTAGAATTGAAAAATCTAATAATAAAGTTAAATAAACTTGGAATATTATTAATGAATTGAAAAATAAACAAAATTCCAAATCCGTTAAGAACTACATCGATTCAGAAAGATTTAATCAGCATTATTGCTCAATTGCTGAAAATCTGACTAATAATTTCAGATCGTCAGTTGATCCTTTAGATTATTTAAAAAATACCCATGTACTCCAACTTTACTCTAAGTTTTACAACATGTTTTGAAGTAATGGAAATATGTTCAGATATTAAAAACAAAAATGCTGCTGGTTATGATGATATTTCTATTAGAGTTATCCTAAACCTTGCTGAATCAGCAATGTTAGTCCTTGCTAGTCTGATCAACCAAAGTTTCGTCGAATCAAATTTTTCGTCATTTCTTAATACCAGTGTTATTGTTCCCATACATAAAGGCGGCAGTAACTACGATCCTTCGAACTTCAGGCCTATATCTCTCATTCCTACAGTGGCCAAAATTATTGAAAAAGTTGTAAAAAAACATTTGATAAATTATCTAGAAACTCACAAATTGCTGGAAACACAACAGTTTGGTTTTCAAAGGAACAAAAGTACTTCTGATGCAATATTTTCTTATCTTAAATATGCTTATTCTAGAATTAATGTTGACGATTCTGTAGCGGCGATATTCTGTGATTTAACTAAGGCGTTCGATTGCGTCAATCATACAGTACTGTTGGATAAACTTCGAGTTTACGGGATCAAAAACGGAGCGCTGAGTTGGGTAAAATCTTATCTTTCAGAACGTAAGCAAATGGTAAGAGCGTCTCAGGATTCTCAAGTTTTAGATATTAGTTGGGGTGTCCCTCAGGGTTCTGTGTTAGGTCCCATTTTATTTCTCCTTTATGTGAATGACTTAGCTCAACTTGATATTGCAGGTACTTTTACTCTATTTGCAAATGATACTACGATTTTATGGTACAGCAATGACACTTCTGTCCTATACAATACCATATCCTGTGACATTAAGAAAATCAAAGCATGGTGCGATGCCAACTATTTGCGTCTTAATATGGGAAAAACTAAAATGCTAACCCTTAAATGTTTCCTACCAAATATTCAGTTGGGAAGTCATATTATTGAATGTACTGACACAATAAAATTTCTGGGAATTAATTTAGATAATAATTTGAAATTTAGAAACCATATAGAATTACTAAACAGAAAACTTTCTTCTGGATGTTTTGCAGTCAGAACTGTGGCAAAAGAACTTGGTTTTAAGGCAGCAAAAAGTGTGTATTATGCCCTAGTTGAGTCCCATTTGAGATATGGAATTGCATTTTGGGGAGGTTGCAGCCGCGAATTATTCAATACTGTTTTTTGTCTGCAATAGAGAGCAATACGATTTTTATGTGGAATGAACAAGCTTGAGTCATGTCAGCCACATTTTATTGGACATGAAATTTTAACATTAACATCGTTGTTCATTCTTGAAACTACTTGTATTATACATAAAAATAAATCGAACTATGCCAATACTAACGCTCGGCTAACGCGACAAGTTGACAACCTGCGGTTGCCCATACCCAAATCTGAACTGGTAAGGGGCTCTTTCATTTATAATGGGATTAAAATGTACAATAAGTTGCCAAATGATATTAAATCGACGGAAACGGTCACAACATTTAAAATACTGCTTAGAGATATGTTGATGACAAAAGCATATTATGCTTTGACGGAATTTTACAATGACTCTTAAATCGTTGTGACTGAACGCACATGTTTTTGTATTTATATAATTTTATCGATGTTCTGTTACGTATTTGTATTTGTAATTAACCTCTAATTTTATATATAACGTTTTTATACAATTTTTAAATTTTTATGCATGTAATTGATAGTACTACATAATAATTATATTTATAAGTGTTTGTCTATAAGTTCTTGTAGCTTTGACAATCAACATATATTGATTGATTGATTTATTGATTGACAACAAGAAGACGAAGAAACGACTTCTCGTAGGGTGGCGGCAAACCAGAAAATTTTAATCCATACCTGGCTACGCCGACCGGCATGAACACCAACGGCCTGAACACAGCTCACCTACTTTGTTAAAAGGAGGCCGATGTACAAATAAAACGCGTACGACATGCGCACTACAAATGATTAGAAAAAAAGAGGTAAATAAAACAAGGGTGGTCCTTAAGAGTAATTTAATACGACCGGTTTCGAGGAGATCAGATCCTCATCATCAGGTATGGTTATTACAAATGATTAGTGTTGTCCCCGATACGCGAGTGTAAAATATATTGTAACATAATTAGTCCTTGTACATAGATTCTTCCGTAATAACTTGGCAACAGATAGTAAAAAACGTGAAATTGTGAATGTTTGCAATTTGCCTTTTGACACAATTATTGTTCTAGTAGATGTATATTGTTGCATTTGCATTCTTTTGTTGCAACATGTCGACAAATATGTCAATATTTGGTATTATGTTGACAACTGTAATAATTTATCATCCTACAGCAGCCTCGTGTGAAGGCGTAAAATCAGATACAAAGATAAGTAATATCTGATCAGGTAGATGGAGATGGCACACAGGCTTAGTGCCGTTCTAAGTTAATGGCACCACAAGGTTTTAAACCAGAAGTAGGGGTAAACACGGTCAATTTATTCAGAAAAAAAAATAATAAAAATCACAATTTTATAGAGTAGAGATATGTTTTTTATATAAACTTACCGGTGATGTATTATTTACATAGACATCCCTATATCTTTGGTTATTCATAAAGATTCATAAAAGTTATAAAGACGTTAAGAGTGAGTTAAAAAAAATGAGGTATTACTACCAAAGCTTTTGTAGTTTACGGACTGTGGGTTTGGATATTAAGACTTCTTAGGGTTTTGTAGATCTGGATACTCTACTTCCAAATGACTTCAGGCGATTTTAAATCAGATACTATGTCTTGAATATGAATAACTACACTGATATAATTAAAAATTAAAAAAAACCGACTTCAAAAACGTGCAGATGCTGTCACCACATCTTAACCAAATTTATATGGGACCACCCCTGAGGTACCCCCTTACTAACAAAAAAAGAATCATAAATCGGACAAGGTGGTAAAGCATTATCGCTAAACGTACATAAAAAATTAAGAGTTTGAGGATTTTCTCATTGACCCAATTATTATATTTTGACCAAATTTATATGGGACCACCCCTGAAGTACCCCCTTTCTAACAAAAAACGAATCATTGAAATCAGACACCGTGTTAAAGAATAATCGCTGAACATACATACAAAAAAAAATATCGCGACGAATTGAAGTGATGAAGAAATTCTTGTAAAAAACTTCAACTGTTTATAATATAAACTATAAACAGTCAACATTTTAGTTATTAAAATGTTGACTGGACTTCTCTTATCAATATAGGCAGATAATATTTTAAGAAGCTCAGCGACTGTTACTTGTAAAATCTTACATATTCCATATTCAGTAC